ACTGTCCAGCCACGGACACCCCATCGCCAGTCCGTGGGCAGAGTGGCCGGAACTTGGGGTGGGGAGTTGGGGGGGAGGGGGGAGTCCTCTGACACCAGCAACACTGCTGTCCGGTTTCTGACGACTGAGAGTTTGTCTTTCGGGTTTGTTTGTTTGTTTTTAAACCAAAACAGCTGTAACTTCGGGGAACAACAGACACAGTTTGGGGTGACAGCAGGGGTCCCGCCCTCATCCTCAAGGCATGATAGTTAGACAACCCTCGTCCCTTTCCTTTGAAAAATACGCACCATGACTTCCTCGCATGTGCATCCCGTGTGGAGTGTGTCCAGAGCTGCAAACAGGTAGGTCACACGTACGTGTGTGTGTTTGGCAACCCACGGGGGCGCGTACACCCGCGTGTAGAAACACAGACACATACATCCTCATAGACACGTGTGTCTTATATATATGCTGAGAAAGGTCACATATATATACAACTGCGTATGTTATCTGTGTGTGTGTCTGTCTGCGTGTGTGTGCGTGTGTGTGCGTGTGTGTGCGTGTGTGCGCGCGTGTGTGTGCGTGTGAGCGTGTGCATGTGAGCGTGTGTGTGAGCGTGTGTGTGAGCGTGTGTGTGTGCGTGTGAGCGTGTGTGTGTGAGCGTGTGTGTGTGTGCGTGTGTGTGCGTGTGCGTGTGAGCGTGTGTGTGTGTGCAGGTGGGTGTGTGCAGGTGTGTGTGTGCGTGTGAGCAGGTAGAAAAACTCGACAGGCAGAGTAATGTTCCACTCAGTGTTGTTAGGTGACGTCTTTGAGGAAAAGCAAAGCGAAGCCGGTGCCGCCGGCCGCTCAGTTGACGTAGTAGAGCCAGTAGACCAGGTTGAAGAGCGAGAAGGTGAAGGGGAACACGATACGGGACCACCGGTCGATGGCGTTCACGTCGGTCAGGTCGGGGATCTTGATCTTGAGCTGCGAGGACCGCCGGCGCAGGTGCGTCTTCTTGTGGGGCAGGCCCCGGTCCCCCAGGTGCCGCCCGGGCCCCTCCCGGGGCGCGCTCTGCTTCCGGTACTGGATCCCTGAGTTGTCGAAGGAGATGGCGGAGTTCCGGGGGTCCCCGAGGCCGCCCGCCACCTCGTTCATCTCGTTGTGCACCTCCAGGGAGGTCAGCAGGATGTTCCCGTGGGCGTCCACCTAAGGGGGGGACATGGCACCGTCAGGCGGGGGGCCGGCCGGCCAGGGGGGAGAGCTCGCTTCCCCGGCCAACCCCGACCCCCGTGTCCCGCAGCCACGGCCTGCGGATGACGGAACTGGCTCACGTGTCACAGCCGAGCTCCGTGTTGGTGGGAAACGGCATTTGGGAAGTTTAACGGGGGGTGTGTGTGTGTGTGGGGGGGGTGCGCCTGGTGATTGTATTTCCCTGATTGAAAAATTCGCACACAGACTAAGGGGAGGGGGCTTTTTCTGATTGAAATTTCACAGGACGGAGACAAGTCCTCACGGAAGAGAAAATCAAATCGCGTCTTTCAAGGTGCCCACGTGGGCATGGCTGGATGGAAACTCAATCTCCTTTCTTTCCTTCTTTCTTTTTGTTGTTGTCAATCCTCACTCGAGGGCATTTTCCCGTTGATTTTTAGAGATCGGAAGGGAGGGCGAGAGACAGAGAAACGTCAACGCCAGAGAGACAGGGACGTGCCCGGGACCGGGATCTAACAGGGGGCCTCCGGGTGCAGCTGACCCACGCGGGCCGGGCCCAGGGCGTCACCCCCGGGTCAGAGTGGGTGAACGTGTCACGGAAATAATGATCCCCGAAGGAACTGGTTTGTGCCTCAAAGTGATAAGGCCTCAGTGTAAACTCATCGGCTCCTTTTGATATAAAAGATTTCATTTTCCTGGGAACCCATGTGTGGAAAATGTCCATGAAAAGTTATAATAAGGGACTGTTATTTTTCTGGAAGAATTAAAGGGTTATTATAATCTTAGAAACCAAACACTTTAAACAGATACCGTTGAATCTTGGGGGCCTATGGCCCAGGCAGTTGCAAACTCCCACAATAGCTTACATTGCGGGATCCCCAATGAAGGACCAACGATATGTGTAGGAATCTTTCCCCTTCATTTCCTGACTACGCCTTCTTTGAGGCGTCTGTCTCGTATCCACCAGTGGGACCCATCGACTGCAGCACAGCCTCTCCCCCTGCTCTCCCCGGACAGGCGCGAACATGCAAATAAAACAGAAACGGATCCCGGGCGGGTGTTTGTGTCTTCCTAAAACGTGTCTCCCGACTGGGACACGGCAGACGTCGCCTTCCCGACCGGCCTTCAACCTTCCCCACGAGCAAGACGCTCTGGTTCTAGGGAAAACGCGAAGGCAGCTGTCCTGTGGGGGAACATGTCAGCCCGCAGCTCGGACTCCGGGGGGGGGGGCGGGGGACGAGGCCCTGCTGCCATGTGATGACACTCGGACACCCCCAGGCCGTGACCGTGCACCGGCGATGGGCACTGCAGCCAGAGACCAGCTCTCGGGTAAAACAACACACAACACCACCATCAGGAACAAATAGAGGTTAAACACAAATAAATCAAGGTCAGGAGGTGCACTGCCCGCCTGGTCCGAGAGAAGAAAGTGAATTCGGGGGTGTCTGGAGCATCGGTATTCCACCCCTGAGGCGCACGGCTGCACAGCCGCTGGGTACGAGGAAAACCTGCTCAGGATTCACGGGTAGGGGGGGATGGGGGGGGGTCCACAGCATCGCGTCACAGAGGCAGCTGCGGGGAGCACAGAGCCTCCCGGCAAAGGCCCGCGCAGCTCAGTGGTGAGCGCCGACCTAGGGACCGGGAGGTCACGGCTCCATCCCCAGTCAGGGGCGTGCAGGAGGCTGCCGGTCCCAGTCCAGGGGAAGCACAGCCCCCCCTCTCCTGCCCCCCCACCCCCAGGGCTCTCGGCTATAACACAAAGGGCCTCCCTGGGGCCATGCTGGTTGGGCAACAATTGGAGAGGGATGGATGGCGATGCATGAGCCGTGGTAACGCCCAAGGACCCAGCCCAGAGCACCAATCCAGAGCGCCCTGACCAGTCCAGCTTCTTCTGCCGCTGGGGGCCGCGCCCGAAGAAGATGTAGTTGACGAAGGCGTACTCCAGGAGGGCCAGGAACACGAACACGAAGCAGCCCATGAGGTACATGTCGATGGCTTTGACGTAGGGGATCTTGGGCAGCGTCTCCCGCAGGTGCGTGTTGATGGTGGTCATGGTCAGGACGGTCGTGATGCCTGCAAAGGACGCGGGCGGAGGGAGGGGTGAGGGCCCGCAGCCTCGCCGGCCTCGTCCCCCCTCCTTGCTTTCCTTCTTTTTTGGAAAAAAATAAAATAAAAAGGTGTTTATTGATTTCCGAGAGGAAGGGAGAGAGGGAAGCACCGGCGATGCGGGAATATCATGGATCGGCTGCCTCCTGCACGCCCCACACTGGGGAGCGAGCCGAGCGGGCAACCCGGGCCTGTGCCCTCCCCAGGGATCGAACCCGGGACCCTTTAGTCCGCAGGCCGGTGCTCTATCCACTGAGCCACACCAGCCAGGTCTAAAAGTATTCTTGCTAATTCCACTGTCAGGAGTGAAATTCAACATCCCGCCCCGCCCCCGGCCCCCAAAGGAAGGGCTTGACTGGGATCATTGCTCTTCAGCCCTGTACTTACCTAACACGTGCCGGAATGTTTACTTTGTCTGTGCGGTTTCACAGTTCTTAGCTGAGCGGAGAACAATCTTTCAGAAAATGGAAGCCTTCTTACTATTCAATATACAGTAGGAATAATATTGGAACCTGCACCACTTACTGTACATCAGCCGATCATTGTCAGCTACCCTGTGGCCAGCAAGATCACCAAGAGCTCTTGGGAATCGCGCAGAATCGAATCGTCTATTTCAGTGCTCGTTACATTGCGTAATTCCAATTACATGCGATAATAAATATTTGACTGTTTTTCTCTGGCTTAAAGAAGAAGAATGCCCAATTAACCGTGTCTTCTTTCTGGACCACCGAATAATTCTGAACGGGGGTGGGGGCGGTGTTAATCCTTGCTTTAAAATGAGTGTCAGTAATAGCTTTATTATGCAAATCTCTGGCAAGCATATTTTCCCTCTCCTGGGCATGAAAACTTACATCTGAGCCTGATAATTAAATTAACACATCAAAGCAATCGTGCGGGGGGGAAATGGGTGTTGCAAGATAGAAACTGATGCCCTGCTGGTGTGACTCAGTGGTGGGGCGTCGGCCTAGGAGCCAGGGGGTCTCTGTCGGGGCACACGCCGGGGGCTGCGGGCTCCGTCCCCAGTGGGAGGCGTGCAGGAGGCAGCCGATCCGCGATTCTCTCTCATCATGGATGTTCCTCTCTCTCTCTCTCCCTCTCCCTGAAATCAATAAAAACATAATTTTTAATAAAACGGTAGAAAACGCTGCTATGGACAAGACTGGTGTCAGGATGGCAAAATGTTGCTGTTGACCTCTGGCCTTTGACCTCATTAATGCTGTAAGGACATGGTTCACACACACACTTCAGATGTGGGTTTAGAATAGCACCTGCCTGGGCAGGCTGGGGGGCCCAGGGGGAACAGGGGGCCTATCTGACACATCCCACAATAAAGAATGATCTTTCAAACAAGCGAAGATGAATAAAACAGACCCGCACGTACCCAGGGCCACCCTGGCGGCCGAGGCGTCGTAATTGATCCAGAAGGAGACCCAGGAGAGGATGGTGATGAGGATGGAGGGCATGTAGGTCTGCAGGATGAAGTACCCAATGTTCCTCTTCAGCCGGAAGCTCAGGGAGAGCCGCGGGTAGGCGCCTGGGGAGCAGACGGGGTCAGGCGGGCGGACGCGGGGCGCCCAGAGCTGGCTCTACGTCCGTGATCGCGTGCCTTCGAGAAGCCCGGGAACCCAGGGGTGGCCCCCAGCCACGCCATGTGCTCCTGTCTGCCTGACGGAGCTGGTGAAAGAATGGGGGGGAGCCCCCCCTTCTCGGGCCTCTCCCCTTCCTCCCTGCCCCCAACGACATGGGTGGTGTCTGGGCTGCCCACAGGGAGCTGCCCACGTTACCAAACATGGGTCTGCCCGGCCGGCGTGACTTGGTGGTCGAGCGCCGACCTATGAACCAGGAGGTCAGGAGTGTCCGCCTGTGGACCGAGGGTCCCGGGTTCGATTCCGGTCAAGGGCCCTGGTCAGGGCTCGTGCAGGAGGCAACCAATCGATGCGTCTTTCTCACATCGATGTTCCTCTCTCCCTCCCTCCCTCCCTCCCTCCCTCTCCCTTCTACTCTCTGGAAAAATCCATGGAAAAACATCCTCGGGTGAGGACTGAAAAGTAAACATATAAAGAAATAAACAAGGAGACCAGTGGTCGCAGGGAGAGGGGCGAGGACGCACCCGTGGCGAAGACGACGTTCCTGGAGACCAGCCGGTGCTCCACGATGGAGAACTGCGGCAGCTCGATCCTCTCCACGCCGGTCACCGCGTTGTCGCCTCCGCGCCAGTAGAACTCGATGTCGTCCGTGGTGTAGCCGTCTGCAGGGACAGAGGAGCAGGGACAGGCGGGAATGAAGCATCGTCGTGTCTACGCACCACATTCCAGAAGCTGTCACCGGCCCGGCCGTCTCTCTCTCCCTCTCCCTTCCTTTCTGAAATCAATAAAAATATCTTGTGCCCTGACCGGGAATGGAACCGTGACCTCCTGGTTCACGGGTCGAGCCTCAACCACTGAGCCACGCCGGCCGGGCCCACTGCAAGATTTTGATAAAATCATCAGCAACCAGAAGCCCGTAGCGTGAGTCTGAGCGTCAGAATGATGCTACGGCTGACGGGAAGTAGTGAGTTTCAGAAGGATAACCAGGGAGGCAGGTACAACACAGGTGCTGTGAGCTCAGCCTTAGCCCCCCCCCTCTTGTGTGTTACCTTCCTCCTACAAATAACAGGAAGACGCAGGCAACGACGCTAACATGAGATGCTAACGTGTACGAGTTGGACAATCGCAGTGAATCACGAAAACAATTAGAACCAGTCGCCTGTCACACCAGCTCTTCACTGAGATGAGTGTGCTTTCGGGTGAGCAGAAGTTTTATGAATATATTTTTTCCCCACGTGGCCCCGTCCCCTTGGGACCTTGGGTAGCCTCTGTTTCCGGGGGCGAGAATGAAAAGGAGACAGGACTCCATGCCAGAGGTCCAGAGGGGCCTGTGCTGCCCCTGGGGGGCTGGGGAGGGGAGGGTGGTGAGGTGGGGGTGCCGATTAGGGAGCGGAACGCCCTCGGGCAAGTGGGGCGCACACACCATCACCCCACACTCCTGTGAGGAGCCGCTGTGGCCCGTGGTTCAGGTGAGGCCGCTGCAGCCCAGAGAGGGCGAGCGACTTCCTCAAGGACACACAGCAGCCAAAGGGGGAGCTGAAAATGGTCCCTTTCCCTGCGGCCTCTGGGTAAGCGGCCCCTCACTCACCCTGCGGCCGTTTGCTCTGCGGGGGCTTCCCTCTTCCACCTCCCCCTCCCCTACCCCCAGCGGGCTGGGGCTCGGTCCTGCCCCAGCGACCTCTCTTTGTTCCGGGTCCCTCCCAGCTGGCAACCTGGCGGCATCCCGCTGCCTGGGGACGAGGGCCTTGTGTGGCGAACGCCTGCCCGCCTCCCCGCCTCCCCGCCTCCCCTCGCTGCCCTTTGTGGCTGGTTACAAAGGACCATTATTTTTCCTGGGTCTGGCTTTTGCCGGCCGCCTCCCCTGGCAGGCTTTGTTTCACCTCGAAAAGAAAATTGATTCGGGGTCTGCAAACCGGCCGACTTCCTGCCTTTGCTTTGCCTGTGTGGCCGGGTCCCCGTCCCTGATGCCACCCCACCCCCGTGGCGGCATCTCTCACCACCTGTGGCTCCAGGGACCCGCTGAGTCCGGGCCCCAGCCTGCCCCTCGGAGGTTTATGTTTTTATGTCGTTCGATCTATTCGTCTTCTCTACAGTTTGCACTTAGTTTCTGAAATATCAAGAACCGTTCTGGCCATTTCTCAACAGCTTTGCCTAATGACACGGCGCATTTTTATGTACGCGTTCTGCAAAGGTGCCCCGGTTACCAACATGGTGTGCGGCTCTCACGACCTTCCCACGTTGTCACTGAAACGGTCACATGGAAACGAGCCCTCCAGCAGGGGTTTCAGAAAGTTCTGCTCCAGTTTGGTATCCACTCGGCCTTTAGCTGCCGAAGTCAACGGCCAGAGTGAAGAGTGACTACGCTGGTGGGTGGCGAGCTTGGAGGACCTCAGCTCTCCCCTCCCACCCGACTTCTGTTCTTTTATTTATTTATTTTTTAATGTATTTTTCTTGATGTCAGAGAGGAAAGGAGAGGAGGGCGCGAGAGAGAAACATCCGTAATGAGAGAGAGTCATGGATCGGCCGCCTCCTGCACGTCCCACACTGGGGATCGAGCCCGCAACCCGGGCCTGTGCCCTGGTCTGGAATGGAACCCGGGACCCTTCAGTCCTCAGGCCGACATCCCCTTCTCCCCACAAATGCGTCGAGGGACACTGCAAAGTCAGTCCTTTGCCATCCACAAAACAATTCAACAGAAACACCCACAAGCCGCCCGGCCGGCGGGCTCAGTGGTTGAGCCTCGACCTATGACCCGGGAGGTCACGGTTCCATTCCCGGTCAGGGCACAGGCCCGGGTTGCGGGCTCCATCCCCAGTGTGGGGCGAGCAGGGGGCAGTGATCCGTGATCCTCTTTCATCATGGATGTTTCTGTCTCTCTCTCCCTCTCCCTTCCTCTCTGACATCAAGAAAAATATATTTTAAAAGAATAAAAATAAACAAACACGGACACGTCTAAATGCAGCGGAGAGGAACTATAAACCCGCTGGGGAGAGGCCGGGATGAGGAGCCACCGCCCCCACCTCCAGAGACGCCTGGGGATGCGGCTCCGGCCGCAGGTGGGACGTGTGTGCATTCGATGCCACAGACGCAGCCGGGCCCCTCACCCAGGGCCGCTCAGCGCTGAGTTACCAGCGAGGCCGCCGGACACGCTTCCGGTGGAAGCAAATTGTCACGACGCAGAGACAGCTTCTGCGTGCCACGCCACGTCCCCGATGGAAAATGAGTTTTCACTCCAGCTGCCCAGGGTCCTCTCCCTGCGGCCACGTGGGCGTGGGGAGGCGTGGGGAGGCGCGGGGAGGCACAGTTACCTCCGTGTTCGCTCTCTTCGCACCGAGGGGCTGGAGATGGGGGGTGTGTCTTTTGTTATACATTCAGCAAAGCGGACAGACTCTCTGAGTCAGGTTCGAATGGAGATCTCATCTTGAGTCTCCCCCCGTCCCTCTCTCTCTCCTTCCCTCTCAACCGTGAAATCTGCAGACTAGAGAGCCGACCTCTCATCTGTAAGGCCGTTAAAAACAGTGTCAAGACAATGGCGTGTGGTGCCGCGGCCAAACCGCCAAACCATGACCAGATGCCTAGCGCACAGATACCCACAGCTTTCGATCTCCAGGGTGCAGTTCTGCTCGTCCAGGGGGTACCGCCTCAGGTCCATCATGCAGGCCGCCGTCGTGGTGATTCTGAAACGCACACAGTGGGGGGCGGGGGGCAGAGAGCAAAGACGGGGTGAGAAGCGCGGCAAGAAAACGGCTCCCACGTCAGCCACGAGTGGGTCCCCCTTCTCCCGACACCCCCGGTCCGACGTGAGGCTGTCTACGGGAGACGTGCTCAGGATGCCGGAGACCAGCGGTGTCCGGGAAAGCCACACAGCCCTGGCCGGGTTGCTCGGTGGTTAGAGCGTCAGCCTGCAGCCTGAAGGGTCCCAGGTTTGAGTCCTGTTCCTCGGTCGCAGGCTCGATCCCGGGCCCTGGTCGGGGTGCACGTGGGAGGCAGCCCATCGATGTGTCTCTCCCACATCGATATTCCTCTCTCTCTCTCTCTGTCTTTCTCCCACCCCCTTCCTTTCACTCTCTCTAAAAGTAAATGGAAAAATATCTCTGGGTGAGGATTAAAAAAAAAAGAAAAGCCACACAGAAACCTCAAGTCCCATAAAGTTCCCGTGGCGTCTCGTTGGCTTTGGGGCCTCAGGCAGAAGGGCCCCCAGAAGCTCTTCTGTTCGGTCTGTCCTGCCTCCGGCCTAGTGCCCTCCGGCCTCTTTAGCCCCGAGCGGACGAGACCGGGATTGGATTCTGTGGCTTCCTCCCCGTGGGAGGTGGTCAGGCTGCCCTGGGACTCTGTGGGCCTGGGAGAGGCATGGGGGGGGTGGTGGCGGGGGGAGAAAGATCCAGAAGGGTGCACACGCCAGAACCCCTCCCTCAGCCACAGACCCTTCCCGTTCGGTACGGCCTTTCTTTTTTTACTTTTTTATTATTATTATTATTTTTGGGTTAATCTCCACCTGAGGATATTTTTCCATCGATTTTCTTGGAGTGGAAGGCGAGGAGGGAGGAGGGAGATAGACGTCCATGGGAGCTCCTGTCCGCTGCCTCCCGCACGCGCCCCCCACTGGGGCGGGGATCCTGCAGCCCAGGTAACGTGCCCTGGGGACCGGGAATCGAACCCGAGACCCCTCGGTCCCCAGGCCGAGGCTCTAACCGGGCCAGGGCCAGTCCCGTCTTTACATATAAGTCGTACTTGGAAGGGATTGGAGGAGCCCAGTTCCTCGGTCCCCAGGCCGAGGCTCTAACCGGGCCAGGGCCAGTCCCGTCTTTACATATAAGTCGTACTTGGAAGGGATTGGAGGAGCCCAGGTTCAAGTGAGCTGGCGACTTGCTGGGCCTTGAGGGAGGGAGGACGGAGGGTGAGTGGGCAGTGGCCTGCGGAAGGCCAACACCGAAGCAGGTGTCGCCGCCCTAACTCCGGGAGTAGTGGTGGGAGTAGAAGGCGGCATAATCCTTCTCCTGGGAG